GTTTTGTATTTACCAATGTTTCTATATTGCGTTCTCTTTTCTAACTGTGCTTAACACAACTCAACATAAATTTTCTGAGTTTTATATCCCTCACTAGTAGGGGATCAACTAATTTAGCCTGTTTTCTATTCTTAGCTTTTCATAGTCTAATACCATCTCTTTTTTATAGATAAAATTTTGTTCACATGCCACCACTGGTTGCACCGTTACATATTCGACTTTTGTCCCGTTTGGTCAATTTTAAGCTAATTTCACTTCGACCACCAACCCCACTCTTTATCTTTTGAGTTTTCATAGTATTTTATTGTTTTAGTAGTCTGTTTAATTTTAAGTTTAGTATCACATATCAAAATTTAAAAAATTTTCATACTCGCTCCCACCATTATTTAAATTCGCTTTCTTTTAGATTCTTCTAATATCTGCTGACGCTTATCTAACTAATTATGATGCCAATCAATCAAATTAACGTTTTTTATACTCGCTGCGACCTCCAGACCCACTTTCTATTTTCTTGTTTTTTACAGTTTTAACAAATATTGGTTGCCTGTACTCAATATATTTTGTTCCTAATCAGCATTAACCAATATTTTCCCCACTCACTCCGACCACCGGACCCATTTTCTAACGGTTAGTACTAACCGTTTAAAATTTCTTTGAATAAGAACAGCATTCAGAAAGGATTCTTTAAGTGAAACAGGGGAAGTTTATCAAAGAAACTTTAAAAAAAAGCTTTCTGGATATATATTTATTCTACAATTATTAAGTTTTGCATTTTTAATATCTACTGCGAAAGATTCTTGTAAGTAACTATTTTTTGATGTATGGTAAAATATCAACGAGAAATGTTGCCATAGCTGTATGGCGAAGGTGTACCATAGCCTATGGAAAAATATTTCGTCATAAGCTGTAGCACATCTTAGTTTTATGGCAAAAATTTGCCATATAAAAAAATGCCATAGGATATTCCTATGGGGTTTTGCCTATGGCAAAATTTTGCCATACACTTTTGCAATATACGTATGGCAAAATTTTGCCATACACTTTTGCAATATACGTATGGCAAAAATTTGCCATATAAAAAAATGTCATAGCATATTCCTATGGGGTTTGGCCTATGGCAAAATTTTGCCATATACGTATGGCAATATTTGCCATACGTATATACGTATAAAACTAAGCTGTAGCACATCTTAGTTTAATGGCAAAAATTTGCCATATAAAAAAATGCCATAGGATATTCCTATGGGGTTTTGCCTATGGTAAAATTTTGCCATACACTTTTGCCATATACGTATGGTAAAATTTTGCTATACATGTATGGCAAAAGTGTATGGCAAAATTTTTCCACAGGCAAAACCCCATAGGAATATCCTATGGCATTTTTTTATGACAAACCTATGGCAAATTTTCCTAAGGGCTACTAGGAAACTGAAAGAAGGAAACGCAGAGATGCAAAAGATAATTACACACAAGTTACAGAATGGTAAAATAGGAGCGGGGAACAAACTTGTACAAAATAGGCAAAAAAGAAAGGAAATAAGAAAGAGGGGGTAGAGTGAGAACCATAAGTGCTCTACAATGCAGAAATTTTTAAAAAAATTGTAGATGTGAAAATAATGGAGTGCTAGGAAAGTCATTGACTAAATTATTATTACTTGACTATCTTGCTTAAGCTAATTTCCCTTACCAATTTGTCAAACGCTTATTTTCCCTTGTTATAACTTGTTTGCATTTTTTTCTGCATTTCTGTGCTTCCCGGTTTTACTTTCTGTCCGGGTATTTAAATGAAAGTTCTGCATAAACACAAAACTATTGTATATCTGTATCTGGGACACCAATTGGGCTTTTTTCAAGTTGTTTAGCCTTATTCACTTGTAGAATCTTTTGTAATGTTTTGCAGCATCACCGAATTTGTCTTCTTAGCTTATTATAATAATTGTATTTTAATGCTGCACTTAGTAGTTTCAAAAGATTTAAATCAAAGGAATGTTTAATACTACAAAGCTAAGTGTACTGAAAGAAATTATATGAAAATTCATTAGTGTGTAATTTATTAATTGTAAAAAAAGAAAAATTCGGAATCTGTAAATTTTAAATCAAAAATATTTTTGATTTCAATCATCTTTATATTATTAAAAAAAATTGACATTTAAAATTAAATTTGAAAAAAAAAATGGATTGAACGCAGTGTGAGTAAAATGAAGTTGGTAGGAAAATTATTACAGGAAAACTATTATAGGAAAAAGTTTAAAACGATCGAAAGCTTGAGAAAGTGCAATTTTAGAAAAAAACCTCTTTAAACTGGTGTTCGAAAAATTTAAACAAATTAGGGAAAGAGAGGTGGGAGGAAACGAAGTCTTTTGCATTGAGCTATTGAGCCCAGATACTCATTTAAGGAAGAAAAAAAAAGGATTCTACAAAAAAAAAATAAAAAATAAATAAAGAAAGAAAGAAAGAAATAGTTTCTAAAGCTTTAAGCTAAATGTTTCGTATTTTAAAAAAGTTTTTAAAGAGACTCGCATTTTAATGATTTTGGGTGTTGTAATAACCTTGTAATACGAAAGGAGGTTTTCTAAAGCAATGTAGAAAGCCTTAATAATATTTCTGACTGGGAGATCAAAATAAATCTGAGGCTCACGCCACCATCTTGCACAAGTTTTGCCAGCGGGTTCAACTCTAGCACGAAGTTAACCTTTTTTTTTCACTTTGATTGCATAAATATGTTTATTAACAATTATACAACTATTTATTCATTGTATTAATATGTAAGCAAGCGCATATAAGTGAAAAACGTGTTTAGAAAATGCTATTAATAACGAAGAAAATATTATATTTGTATAGTTGTTAGCTTTAATTAAATCAACATGTAGGTAGACTCATATAAAAATTATAAAGCTTACACTTAACAATCAATTGAGCTTTCGCCACAGATTCTGTCCCAATTCCATTATAAGCAGCACATTCGAAAACACCTGCATCTTGTCTGGACACGTTAAGTACTACAAGATAAGCTCGTCCCCATTCTAGTTTTTCTTGTGTCCTGTGACCCATGTCAAATCCTTCACGTCGCCATTTAATGACATCGCTTCGCATGGGATTCCCAATGGCTGCACATTCAAAAGATGCGTCTTCCCCTTCACCAAGAGCTGCACTCCTTGTTACTGTTGTCACGGCTGCTGGATCTGCAGAACAAATAAACAATTTCGGTTATTTTCATAAAACAATCCGAAAACTGTCATAACGTAAAATTGCTTGAAATGGTGAAAATAAATTGATAATAAGATTTAATCTTAATAAGATTTAAGATCTTAATAAGATTTAAGAATTAGCACTAAAATCTAAAAGGGTCAGAGTTATTGTTAGATGCAGATGGGACATTGATTTCTCTGTATTTTTTTACTGACACTCAAATTATAAACAAAATTATATTTTGGTATTTTTTAAGTTTGACACTCGGTGGCTGAGCTGTAGCGCTTCGCGCTGTCGTGGCACAGGTCCCTGGTTCGATCCGCGGGCCGGGCAAGGTTGACTCAGCCTTTCATCCCTTCAGTGGGTCGATAAATGAGTACCAAGCATGCTTGGGAACTAAACACTAGGGGGTTCCGCTTTCGGCTGACCACCTGACCGGAACATCTGCTCCTGCACGCCAGAGCCCAAGGTTAAGAAAACTGAGATGGTCGCAGTAGGCCTTTGCCCTCTTGAACTGTCGCGCCACTGAGTTTAGCTTAGTTTATTTTTTAATTGTAAAAAACATTCTAATAGTACTAAAAATACCTTTTAGATTATCGAAATCGTATATTTATATTAAAATATAAAATCCGAAATAGTAGTTCGAAATCTTTTTCATTGATAGTCAAAAATTAAGCAATGTTTTTGTAAATAAAGGAAATTTCAATGAAGAATAACTGTATCTCTTAGATATAAATTACTGCAAATGTGTTCAAATTAGAAAAAAAAAGTATTGTTTGGAAATGAGCCGTGGTTGGAAGATTTTACCTTTAACGCAGAGAAAGACAACGGTGTTACATGAAAAAAAGTATTAAAAGTAGTATATTAGTGTGTTTTAGTATATTAGTGTGTTTTATAACCATAAATTATTGGAATACTAAATATAATATTTTTCACTTATTTTGATCTATGTTAATACAACATAATGAAAAAAAGTATTAAAAATGTGCTAAATAAGAAATTCTATATCATGAGATAATGTCTGAAAATTTGATTTCCTGCAATGCATGGAAATGGAAAACGGTTATAGTAAACTAAACTTACTTACATCCAAATTTACATACATTACTTTACATACATCCAGATAGTGTTAGAAACAGTGTTTGATGCAATTACGGAAAGAAATGTAAAATAAGAGAAAAAGAAATCATTGGAGTGAATCGGTGTCCCGGAACAGCTGTTACCGGAACAGAGTAAATTATCAATAAAAAGATAGAAAGGGCAACAATAACTAATAAAGCTAAGGAATCAAAAATATGCTTGACACAATGAAAATAGCATACATTGTAAAAAATTCCAGATCAATCCCGGTACTCAGGTTGTCAGCACGTTTTATCGTAAAATCTATTCTTACCGCAAGATTTTAGGCAGAAAAAAATGTGAAATTCTTTAATTTTTAAACAGTAATATTTACTGTAAAATCAATGAATCACTGTGATTAAATAAATATTACTGTAAAAATTATGTTATAATTTTTACAGTAAAAATAGATTTCACGGTAAAATAGATATTACATAATGTTGCATTCGGGCAATTTTTTTTGAAACCGTAATTTGATTCGGAATTTTTCGCACTGTATGATCGTGGAAAAATAAATAATTATTCAGTTATTCACTAATAAGTAAATTTTTACTGCATTACATTTATTTCAAATAATAATTTAATTATTTCCCTAACACATATGTGTTAAATTTTTATTCCATTAATGCAAGCTTTTTATCTTGAGGTAAAATTTAAATTTTCGTTTATTAACGAACTTCCTATTTTTATTCTAGAAATAGCTTGGAAACAATGGATCTACAAGAATATACCTTTAAAAATAATCTATTATTTTAACAAACCTGTTTAGTTACATAAAATATATTATTTTTAATATATCTTTTCTGTTTCCATGTCCAAGAGGCATAATTCTAAGTCAAATGGCTTTAAAATAGAAAACCATCTTAACTAAACTGCTGCAATAACATTAAACTGACATACATTAATTATAGATCCGGACTTAAGTTCTTAAAATTCCATAAAATAAACGAAAATTCGGTAATTGGTTTCGATTTGCTTACAACACACGCTATTTCTTGACTAACTTTTTAATAATTCCAAGGAGAAAACTCCCCCGTTAAGTTAATAGTAAGCAATGGGATTACTTTGCCCTGCTATCAGTTGAGGATAGCATTGCCACAATCATCTTTTCGGTCACGTGTTCTTCTATCGATGCTTTCACCTCACGAAATTAGGTTCTTAAATCTGGCAAAGGCTAAGTCTAAGATTACTTAAAGGCATCATCAATCCATTTATTCGTAAACAAAATTCTGTTTTACGCCATACTTTTATTAACAAGATTATTTCCAGATCTATTCTTGGGAATTCGCAAGTTTAGACAGAAATTATTTTTTTTCCTTCTGATATTTTGGCAGAACAGAATATCTATAAATATGGAATAGAATATTCTGGAATTATTCTCATATTCTATTCTGAAGCCTGTATATTCTACAAATTCTACATAAAGCATTCTAGTCTTTTTTTTATATTCTATTCTGAAGCATGGATATTCCACACATTCCATGTAAAAGATTTTAGTCTACTTTCTTCTTATTCTCTTCTGAAACATGCATATTGTGTACATTTCATGTAAAGCATTCTAGTTTGTTTCTTTTTAATCTTTACACTACTTATAAAGCATTCAAGTCTCTTTCCTTATATTCTATTCTGTTTCATGATCAATTATCTTTTCTTACAGGTATATTCTATTCTGTTGCATGTTCAATTCTTATTTATCTTCAGATTCATGTAAAGCATTTTATGTCTACTTTCCTTTATTCTATTCTGAAAGATGAGCGTTGTGCACATTTCATGTAAAGCATTCTAGTCTGTTTTCTTGCAATCAATTCAGAAGTATGCATATTCTTTACGCTACTTTTAAAGCAAAGTCTCTTTTCTTATATTCGATTTTGTAACATGTTCAATGCTTAGTTATCTTTAGATCAATGGGTACCAGTTTGTCAGAGAGGCAAACGTAGTTTGTCCGCAGTGATAACCACACTGTCACAATTATATCATTGGTTACAAAACTGACGAACCTGACTATTTCGGGTGTATTTTAGTTCGTAGAGTATACATATTTCATGTATAGTCTACTTCATTTTCTATTTCATTCAGTATTCTTATATTCTATTCTTCAGTACAAAATTTACGGTGGAATAACTTAATGAGCAATAAAATAAAATTTGAGTTTTAAAAAACAAAACACAAATTTTTATCTAAACACAAACAAAAATTAAACACACTTTTATTAAAGAAATGTTTTGATCCCTGCTAAAATTATTAAAAAAATATTTAATAAAATAACTTGGTACTTTATTTTGAGATGATTTTTAAAAAGTAATAAAATCGCCCAAATTTTTGGCTAATTATTTAGAATTATTCCTTATAATAGGAGAAACACATGCAAATTTTTCCACGTCTTAAATTGTAGCGTATATGCAAAAACTAATAATAGCTCTTTTGAGAAAAAAATACTAGTAATTTAAGTTATATGTCATAGAATGAAAGTTCTGGTCATCTTTAACATGAACTTTCTGTTCTTCTTTAAGGTACTTTTTCTGTTAATTTTTTTTATTCTAATATGGTGATTCGTAATCGAAATTTCTATTTAACACACTTTATGTTATGATTTGTTATCAAAATTTTCTTTATTTCACTGTTTTGCATAAAAACAAGTTTTTCATCTCACACGTCCTGCCGTCCAAGTGGCTGAGTGATCAGCGTGCCTGACTGCGAAGCCAATGGTTGCGATTCAGATCCCGCTTGGAGCATGGATGTGTTAATCTCTGTTGTGTCTTGTGTGAATGTGGCCTACCTTATGAACGGGTCTGCGGCGTTGGTGATGTTCCTTACATCCGTGACTTATGTCTACGGTGAGAACTCTTCCCGCCGCAAAGTCTGAAGCCGTCTGCTGTTATGAAAACAAGAATAACGCATTTCAGGGAGTGTACTGTTTGTCTACGATAGGTACTCTGTCCGCCACAAAGTCTGCGGCAGTCTGGTGCTATGGAAACAAGAAGAGAGCATTTTAGGGAGGGTGGCTTCGATGAAAAGGTCTCCTTTTCTTTCGCCTTCGATGATAGCTTTTATGGGGAGTATACCAGATTGGCTGACTCAGCCACCAGTAGGAGACTTATTTAATCTGATTCAAGAACTTTTTTAAGATTCGCATGAATATTTCTTTCTTACTTAAAATAATTCTCTCGATTCAATCAGTTGTTATTTTTTAAATACAAAGGAAAAAAAGTGAACAAATTCTGACATTAAGGGTAGTACAGGTTTTTTTAATATTACTTTTTAATTTTACAATATTCATTATGAATGTTCATTGATTGTTAGATGGTTTAATTTCTAAACTTGCACATTTTTTAAAGCAGTTAATTTCTTTTATTGCTTGAATTTTCTGGAAAAAGTGAAGAGCTTAAGCTTAATAACTCTGATTTTAAAAGGAGATAAAACTTTTGCTGAAAATAAAAATAGTTCACGTTATCTGTGCCGGAGAAATATTAAATATCTTTGTTTTGATTATTAATTTTTAAATATTTTATTTATTTATTTATTTGAAACTGAAAGCAAGTGACCGCAACTAGGATGAAATCTAAAATTATCAACGATGATTTTTATCAGCACCCATCAAACCATCTGAAATTATCTGAAGTTTTTTTTGCTTAAATTATGTTTTCTTATTCATATTTTATTGTAACCTGTAGACAGTTTTTTTTCACTATTTATTAAAAACAGTTTTTATTAGCAAATTTATTTTTTTCTTAATAACCAATTTACTATGATGACAAATTTATAGATGAGTTATTTATTAATAAAACATTGAGCTGCTTTAAACAATTTTATACAATTTCCATACAAATTCCATACATACATATAAATTTTTTAAATTTTTTTTCTAAAACAGAAG